GGACAGGATGTTCATGACGGGGGTACAAGGTCAGGGCTGGATCACCATGCGCATCGGGGATTTTGGGGCCAGTTTTGGGGTGACATTTTCAGGAAATTTGGGGTAATTTCAGTGGATTTTGGAGTATTTTTTTTGGGATTTTGGGCCCCAGACCTGTTTCATGATGAGCCGGGACAGGATGTTCATGACGGGGGTACAAGGTCAGCGCCTGGATCACCGTGCGCATCGGGGATTTCGGGGCCAGACTTGGGGTGAATTTTGGGGTGAATTTTGGGGTAGTTTCATGGAGATTTTTGCAGGAATTCTGGGGTAATTTCAGGGGTATTTTTGGGATCATTTCAGGGGATTTTGGGGCCCCAGACCTGTTTCATGATGAGCCTGGACAGGATGTTCATGACAGAACCTGGATGACGAAGAGCATTTGGAATTTTGCGTCCAGATTTGCAGTGAATTTTGGGGTAATTTCAGAGGGATTTTTGGGGTGATTTTTGCAGGAATTTTAGGGTAATTTCAGTGGGATTTTTGGGGTAATTTCAGGGGATTTTGGGGCCCCAGACCTGTTCCATGATGAGCCTGGACAGGATGTTCATGACAGAACCTGGATCACGAAGCTCATTTGGCATTTTGCGTCCAGTTTTGGGGTGAATTTTGGGGTAGTTTCATGGGGATTTCTGCAGGAATTCTGGGGTAATTCCAGGGGATTTTGGGGCCCCAGACCTGTTCCATGATGAGCCTGGACAGGATGTTCATGATGGGAGTACAAGGTCAGGGCTGGATCACCGTGCGCATCGGTGATTTCGGGGCGAGTTTTGGGGTGAATTTTGGGGTAGTTTCATGGGGATTTCTGCAGGAATTCTGGGGTAATTCCAGGGGATTTTGGGGCCCCAGACCTGTTCCATGATGAGCCTGGACAGGATGTTCATGACGAAGCCCCCCAGGCGGGGGTACATGGTCAGCGCCTGGATCACCGTGCGCATCAGCAGCATGGGCAGCGGGCTCTGCTCCATCAGCTGCTGCATCACCACCGCCAGCACCTCCGAGGTGTACACGTTCCGCTCCGCGAAGCACAGGTTGGTGGCTGCGGGCACAGCGGGGACGCTGGGAGGCACCGCGAGGGACTGGGGGGCACTGGGAGGGACTGGGAGGGGATGGGGAGGGAGTTGGGACCCAGTTTGGGGGACCCCATGTCCCCTGGGTGTCCCCAGTGTCCCCATGCCCACCTTTGATGATGGATTTCATGTCACACTTGGAGGAGTCGATGTTGTGCAGGGCTGCTGTGTCACTGTGTCCCTCTGTCCCTCTGAGTGTCCCTGTGTCCCTGTCACCCCCTGGGTGTCCCCATGTCCCCTGGGTGTCCCCAGTGTCCCCATGCCCACCTTTGATGATGGATTTCATGTCACACTTGGAGGAGTCGATGTTGTGCAGGGCTGCTGTGTCACTGTGTCCCTCTGTCCCTCTGAGTGTCCCTGTGTCCCTGTCACCCCCTGGGTGTCCCCATGTCCCCTGGGTGTCCCCAGTGTCCCCATGCCCACCTTTGATGATGGATTTCATGTCACACTTGGAGGAGTCGATGTTGTGCAGGGCTGCTGTGTCACTGTGTCCCTCTGTCCCTCTGAGTGTCCCTGTGTCCCTGTCACCCCCTGGGTGTCCCCATGTCCCCTGGGTGTCCCCAGTGTCCCCATGCCCACCTTTGATGATGGATTTCATGTCACACTTGGAGGAGTCGATGTTGTGCAGGGCTGCTGTGTCACTGTGTCCCTCTGTCCCTCTGAGTGTCCCTGTGTCCCTGTCACCCCCTGGGTGTCCCCATGTCCCCTGGGTGTCCCCAGTGTCCCCATGCCCACCTTTGATGATGGATTTCATGTCACACTTGGAGGAGTCGATGTTGTGCAGGGCTGCTGTGTCACTGTGTCCCTCTGTCCCTCTGAGTGTCCCTGTGTCCCTGTCACCCCCTGGGTGTCCCCATGTCCCCTGGGTGTCCCCAGTGTCCCCATGCCCACCTTTGATGATGGATTTCATGTCACACTTGGAGGAGTCGATGTTGTGCAGGGCTGCTGTGTCACTGTGTCCCTCTGTCCCTCTGAGTGTCCCTGTGTCCCTGTCACCCCCTGGGTGTCCCCATGTCCCCTGGGTGTCCCCAGTGTCCCCATGCCCACCTTTGATGATGGATTTCATGTCACACTTGGAGGAGTCGATGTTGTGCAGGGCGATCAGGAGCTCCCCGGGGTTCAGGGGGGACACGGCCGAGGCGCCGTCACCTGCGGGGACAGCGGGGTGACGGGACAGGGACAGCGGGGTGACAGGGACAGGGACAGAGACACCGGGGTGACAGGGACAGGGACAGCGGGGTGACAGGGACAGGGACAGCGGGGTGACAGGGACAGGGACAGCGGGGTGACAGGGACAGGGACAGCGGGGTGACAGGGACAGGGACAGCGGGGTGACAGGGACAGGGACAGCGGGGTGACAGGGACAGGGACAGCGGGGTGACAGGGACAGGGGACAGCGGGGTGACAAGGGACAGCGGGGTGACAGGGACAGGGGACAGGGGCTGTGTCCCATCCCAGGCTGTTCCCAAGCTGTCCCCAGGGCTGTCCCCAGCGCTGTCCCCAAGCTGTCCCCAGCTGTCCCCAGGGCTGTCCCCAAGCTGTCCCCAGCTGTCCCCAGGGCTGTCCCCAGGGCTGTCCCCAGGGCTGTCCCCAAGCTGTCCCCAGCTGTCCCCAGCTGTCCCCAGCTGTCCCCCAGCTGTCCCCAGGGCTGTCCCCAAGCTGTCCCCAGCTGTCCCCAGCTGTCCCCAGCTGTCCCCTACCGTGCTGTGTCCCCAGCAGGCGGTTGAAGACCTCCTTGACCACGATGGGGTTGAGTTTGATGAGTTTGGGCAGCGCCTGAATCACCTCTTTCTGCACCAAAACCGGCCCCGGGGACACTCAGTGACACCCAGTGACACTCAGTGACACCCGGTGACACCCAGTGACACCGGGGCAGGGGACAAAGGCCACCCCCACCTTCTCCAGCCCGTTGAGGACGGGGATGAGGAACCGGACGTCCGGCAGCCGCTTGTGGTACAGGTCCCTGACGCGCTTGACCAGCTCGGGCGAGGGTGGCACTGCGGGGAGGGGACAGCGCTGTCACCCCGGGTGTCCCCTGGGTGTCCCCAGGCTGTCCCCATGTCCCCTGTGCCAACCTTCGATGATGGATTTCATGTCACACTTGCAGGAGTCAATGGGCAGGGCTGTGTCCCTCTGTGTCCCCTCATGTCCCCAAGGTGTCCTCAGGGATGTCCCCATGTCCCCAGGGTGTCCCCAGTGTCCCCAAGGTGTCCCCAGGCTGTCCCCATGTCCCCCTGTGCCAACCTTCGATGATGGATTTCATGTCATATTTGGAGGAGTCGATGTGCAGGGCTCCTGTGTCACAGTGTCCCTCTGTGTCCCCATGTCCCCAAGGTGTCC